TCTGCATGTATGTGTGTGTGTGAGTGTGTATGTATGTGTGTGAATGAGTGTGTATGTATGTGTGTTTGTTTGTATGTGTGTGTACGGTTGTGTTTGAGTGTGTAGATATGTGTGTTTGTATGTACGTGTGTGTGTACGGTTGTGCTTGAGTGTGTTGATATGTCTGTTTGTTTGTATGTATGTGTGTGTACGTATGCGTGTGTTTGTTTGTATGTTTCCATGTGACCGATGGATCGAAACGGAAATGAGGAAATCCGATGAAAAAAAGAGAGAAAGATGGGAAAAGAGGGTTGGACAGAAACTGAGAAACAGAGTTGGAGAGGAAGAGAGAGGGAGGGAGAAAGAGAGAGAGGGAGAGAGAGAGAGAGAGAGAGAAAGGAAGAGATGTTTTTTATGGTTAATGTTGAGTTTTCAGATGTTATTACTTATTTAATTCTTATATTTGTTCATCCGTGTTATCATTCATTCATTCATTTATTCATTTATTCATTCATTTTTTTATTTATTTATCTATTCATTCATTTATTCATTCATTCTTTCATTCATTCATTTATTCATTCATTCATTCACAAATCTATCCGTCCATCCACCTGCTAGCATGCGATGTCATTCATAATTGATGAACAAGCAGCTAATTATTTGGCATCCATTCTGTATCATCATCACCACCACCACTATCATCATCATCATCATCTTCATCATCATCGTCATCTTCATCGCCATCATCATCATCATGTTTTCCCTAGTTGAAAATGTTCATGCAAATAATGGGAATGTTTGCATCTGTTGGATGTATTGTATGTTTGTTTGTATGTATGTATGTATGCATGTATGTATGTGTGTGTGTATGCATATATGTATGTATGATTGTATGTTTGTATAGGCCAGACGAACATACAAACCTTGTATATAGATGCAAACGCATTGGAGCAAACAACATTCACATAATCAAATTCATTTAGTATATCTTCCCGATCTGTTTTTATCATTTTTTTGTAGTTTTTGTTTTATACAAAAAAAAAATAGAAAAACTCTCGGGTGCATAATTCAGAAACATTGTTTTCTCCTATATGCATCTGCCTTCTGTCTTGAGTCTCCTCCAGACATACATCCATACATAAATACATACATACATACATACACACATACATACATACATACATACAAACAAACATACACACATACATACATACGCACATACACCTACACACATACTTAAAAACATGCATATATACGTATTACAGAGATAAAATATCAATGTACCTACATATGACCAAGACTATGATGTCTTATTGATTTCTTTTTATTATGCTTCTTTGGTGCAACAATTAATGATGTTTGGTTTCTGTAAAATGTTATCGACAGACTAGATTATTTTATAGTTGAAGTTTTTGTTGGTGTACAAATTTCAAACTATTTCACTTTTAGAAATTGGCTATGTCATTAACTACATTGTTGTTGTTGATGTTGTTGTTGTAGTTTTGCTGTTATGATGAT